TCCCAACACGGCTCTACAATACTTAGCTTATTACAGCTTTTCCTACAGGCACCCAACTGATCCTAGAGTCTCAGGGTTGGAATGGAATTTCAAGATAACCTAACCCTGAATTTCCTCTATGACTGCCCAGATAGTTGTCCATGTTCCACTCCCCCATCTCTAGTAGCAAGAGCCCATTACCTCCTCAGAGAAGACTGCTGTGGAAAAGTTGCCTGCTAGAAAGTTCTTCATAACTTTGATCTGAAATGCTTGGGGAATGAAGTTGAATCACTTCTGTTCCCCAGCACTACACCTCTCTACCCAGAAAATGGGCCCACTGTGGTTTACAGTCAAAGACTTTTTTAGAAAAGTACAGTTGATCATGGATGTCTGTGCCACATCGTTTTGGAGAAGTCTGAAGTCTCAAGAGGATGTCATTGTGCTGCCCACTGTGCACGTTGGAGCTGTAAGGCAGGGCTAGGCTCTGCAGATTTGCCCACAGGCTCGGTGTGCAGTGGTTTGAGGCTCCAGATGGGTCCAGAGAGCTTTGCAGAGGCAGCCAGTCCCTTTGGAAACCACCCTCCCATCTGTTGGCTTATCTGTTCCTTCAGTCAGCATTTGCCAAGCATCTCAGGTAAAGGTGTGGAGGGGGAGCAGCCCACGGTGTCACAGGAGAGACAAAGCCTCCAGGTCCTCGAAGAAGTTAGAGCATCTGAGCAGGTGTGGGATAGCAAGGGCTTCGGAGTCAGCTCTGGACTGAGGGCAAATGTTTCATACCTCCCTATCTTTTGATGTTGTCATAAAGGTCAACTGAGATTGTGTTAATGAATTATTATTATTGTTATTTATTTATTTATTTATTTATTTATTTTGAGATGGAGTCTCACTCTGTTACTCAGGCTGGAGTGCAATGGCACAATCTCGGCTCACTGCAACTTCCACCTCCCTAGTTCAAGTGATTCTCCTGCCTCAGCCTCCTGAGTAACTGGGATTACAAGCACCCACCACCATGTCCAGCTAATTTTTTTGTATTTTTAGTAGAGACGGGGTTTCGCCGTGTTGGCCAGGCTGGTCTAGAACTCCTGACCTCAGGTGATCCACCCACCTCGGCCTCCCAAAGTGCTGGGATTACAGGCGTGAGCCTCCGCACCCGGCCGTAAATAAATCATTTAACACAGTGTCTGCCAAAGAGTAAGTTCTCAGAAGAGGAAGAGCCTACTTCTGCCAGGGGGATCATGGAGGCAGCCTCTGAGCTGGGTGTCAAAGCTTTAGCTCCTCCCCATGGTGTCCTCCATCAACCTTTCTCCCTCCAGCATGAGAAGATCCTTCAGTAGACGCAGTAAATGCTTACCCTTAAGGCGGATAAGAGATGCCCACAGGAGGAGGAGCTGAGTAAGGTAGCTCTTTGTCTAGCCGGCTGCCTCAGTCTCCCCTGGGCAGCTGGGGGCGGCAGCCTCATTCACTTCCTTGGTGTTGTGCTTGGCCAGAGTGGAACGGGCTCAGCTGGGCTGGAAAGCCCTGAGGCCAGTCTGCTGCTTTGCCAACAGAGCCACAGTGCTGGTGTCACCATGGCCTAGGCCAGACTTCTACTGGACACTGGATTTGGCCTGAGGATGGCCTTGCATTCTCCCAGAGGGCTCCTGCCAGGGGGCTGTTTTGAAGTCAGGCGGGTGTACATGACAGATTTTATTCTTCCCACAGATCATTGAAAAACAAGCAGGGCACAGTCGAAGTAGGGTGTTTCGAGAGGTGGAGACGCTGTATCAGTGTCAGGGAAACAAGTGAGTATCGTGTGATTCTCGCTGCTTCGCTGGGGGGACGGTTGGCCACAGAAGCGGAGGCTATTTCTTACTATCTCCTGACCCCAGCATTTAGCTCTCCTGTCCCCACAAGGCAGGTACCTCCTTCCACCTTTCAGTATTAGGGAGAGAAAGGAAAAGCAGCAGTAACATCTAAGGAGCTGTTGTGTCTTCTGAAATACTGTAAATAATCAGCAGTTCGGGCAAGTTAGAAGAACGAACCATCTGAATCAGTGGTTGTTGGGGGGAAATGGGGTTTTATTTCTTTTGGTACCTGTGGAAACTAGGTTGACTGAGTGTTGCCTGGTAGAAATCTTTAAGGACTTGCCCTTAATACCAAGATGAGGAGAACTGTTAAGAATATTTGCTGCAGTTTCTACTCCCAGAATATTTACGTATGTGCAGATACCACTAAGATTCTGGAACCTTGTCTAGCACTCCTTCTAGATAGCTGGGTCCAGGTCATCTCTAGCCTCAGTTCATTCTGCCCACCACCAGCTCCAAATGAGCAGCTCTCCCAGCGTGGCTTTAAATCAGGGTCACCTCTAAGACTCCACTTCCCCCTCTCTCCCTCCATGGCAGGGTCAGCAGGGAGCCAGTGGCCTGGTATTGATGGCTTTGTCATTAAACTTGGAGGATGGGGGCTGCTGTTGATTTAACTCCAGGCACTGCCTTCACAATCTTCTTTCAAATGAGGCCATTTTGCCCATCTTATTTGGACGCCTTCACACTAGTAAAAGCCTGGTATCTCCCAAGTAGTCAGCATTTTTTTTATGAGGGACAGATTTTTATTTTCAGCCCTGCAGCTTCTTAGTTCAGCATTAGAGACTCTACTTGGTTTATTTTATTCTTTAAAAGAAAAAAAGCCCCCAACACCTCCAATATCCAGGCTGGTGGCTTCCCTACTGAGTTACAAGACGACCTTGTTGGCGGAGCACTGAAATACTCGGGCAGACAGAGAGTACTCACCGGGGAAGGCCACAAGTGCTACGGTGGCCGGGAACGCGGCCGTTTCATTAAGCAGCGCTTAGCAGTTAGGGTCTAGCGGTGCCCACGTTAGGCCCCAAGTCTATTTGACAGATGTTTCCATTTTCTCCAGGCAATGTAAATACTGCCCCGTGATTTATGGGCAAGAGGGAGGGCAAGTAATTATTTGCTGCTTGCCTCCAGGACACACACCTACTATTCAGTGTTATTAGCCGCAATTGCTTCCAGTCGGCTGCAGATTTTATTCAGTTTAATGTGACCGGGACTTTTTTATAACTCTACCTAGTGGGTTTTAGGGCTGGGGTTTGACAGCACAGACTTGGTGAAAACACCAGAGACTAAACATTATGGAAAGATAAGGTGACCTGAATCTTGCTAACACCATTGGCTGCTTCCACACGCGGGTCTTTAATAAGCATTCTGATTTCAAGTTGATTTCTGCCCCACTGCCAGGTGTTGTATATTTTTTTCATTGTATATTTGTAAGTAGACTTTAATATATAATACCATTTCCCCCCTTTTCCCTCTCCTCCTATTTTCCCTATTTAAGGAACATTTTGGAGCTGATTGAGTTCTTTGAAGATGACACAAGGTTTTACTTGGTCTTTGAGAAATTGCAAGGAGGTACTTACCGTTGAGTATGTGTGTGGACTTCTGATTAAGACCCAGGGTGGTGATCATCCATCATGAATCCCAGAGACTTCCAAAACGAGTCAAGCTAATAAAAAGGATGAAGGACTTAAAAACTGCCCTTGATTTGGGAGAAGGGAGGCCGGAGGGAAGGATGATAATTAGCATTTTGCAGAGCTTAGAATGTCACCTGTGTGGGTATTTTATAAATGCCTTTTCATTATAATAGGAGTCATATATAGATACACTTAGTCATCGATTTATCAATCCCATTTTGACATGTTCACTATTTAACTACATTAATTATGGGGTGGAAGCTCTCAAATACATTGTGAAGTCTAGAAAGGCTAAAACAGAGGAGAGGAGGGTCCTATTGTTTGGGACACAGACCCAGGATAGAAGGGAAGCCTGAGAATGTGCCATCCTTCAGATAGAAAGATGCCATCACACACAATCACTGGGGTGTATACTTAAGTTGCTTTTCTGACATAATGAGGTGGGGCAGAGAAGCCCTTTCCCTTCCCAGCACTCCCCCAATCTTAGGGCACACTTGCAAGGATGTCTGGAGCTGCATGGAGGGCCACATGGAGGGACTTGGTGGCTGAGGGAGCATGCTTTAGAAACCAACACAGCTATGGCTTAAGTCTCGCTCCATCACTTACCAGCCATATGTGATCCTGGGCAAGTCACTTAACCTTTTCCAAACAATATCCCCTTCTATAAAATAGAGATATTGATAGCACCTACCTCACTGGGTTGCTATGAATATTAAATGAGATAATTCATGTGAAATGCTTAGCACAGTGTCTGGTAGGCATCGAGGGCTCAATAAATGTTGGCTGCTAATATTATTAAAACAATTTGGTATGCTGGAGGCTGTCTTAGAATTATGTAGAGTAGACCAGGTGCGGTGGCTCACACCTGTAATCCCAGCACCTTGGGATGCCAAGGCGGGCAGATCACTTGAGGTCAGGAGTTCAAGACCAGCCTGGCCAACATGGTGAAACCCGTCTCTACTAAAAATACAAAAATTAGCTGGGCGTGCTGGCACATGCCTATAATCCCAGCTACTCAGGAGGCTGAGGCAGGAGAATCGCTTGAACCTGGGAGGCAGAGGTTGCAGTGAGCCGAGATCACACCGCTGCACTCCAACCTGGGCAACAGCGCGAGACTCCGTCTCAAAAAAAAGAAAAAGAATGTAGAGCATTACTCTCTGCTTTTCCTTTTAGCAAATTTGCAAACGAGGCTCTCTATAGCAGAGCAAGCTAGGACCTAGTCAGGAGCCGGTTTTCTGGGAATGTTCCCTAGCACATTGGGATCCGTTGTTTAATCTGGCGAATGAACAGTCTTTGGCAGTTCTTCCCCTTCTCTCATGCTCTCCCCATCCCCCCCAAAAAAAACAGTAGACACATGCCATCTTTAGGACACAGAGATAATACCTGCAGCCCAGAAATACTGGCTTCTAGTAGTAAACGTAGACCACATGAAGCCAAGCCGCATGTTCCTGCCTGTGTCTGCCCCTGCACCACCCAACAACACATGACTGACTGTTAAGTACATGTTTGAAATGCTGCATGCAGATGGGATCCTCCGTCGCCATATCAGTAAACTTAATGTAGCTTATTGAGGCCAGACCCAGTGTGGTTGGCTCAAGAGAGTCCATCCCTGCAGCAGTCAGACCACAAGTCCTGCTGGGGGCTGTCTGCACAGACTCTGAAGCCTAACTGCCCTGGGCCTAAGTCCTGGCGTCACCCCTTACTGGTGCGTAATCTTGGGCACGTTCCTCGACCGTTTTTCTTTTTGGCTTTAGGATCCCCCTCTGTAAAACGAGGATAAGTATACTACCCATTTTGTCCAATTGTGAGAATAAGACAGTTTATTTCAAGAGTATTCCGTAGCACATAGCACTAGTAACTACTCAGTAAATGTTAGCCATTGCCAACAAAACAATAATAAATGGGAACACTCAGGAGGAAAACCCATTTTTCCCCCTTTTCCCAGGCCTTTACATGTCTGGCAAGGGTATGGCATTTCCATTTGAAAGTTTGTGCTCTTGTTTGGATCAGAGATCAGATGCAGGGGAGAAAATGCTGCTACAGAGAGTCCCCCTCAGCTCCAAGTGCCTTCAGTTTTATTCCTTTTGATTGCAGAAGCCAAATCTGCCCCAGCATTGTTAATATTTTTTGGCTCTCGCTTCTGAGCTCCTCATAGACAGGTACAGAAGAGAGCAGTGCAGTTTTGTTTAACAGACATACAAGCTGGTACCTCCTCTGTGCCAGGCCCCACACTTGGAGCTGGACAGGTAGTGATGAATAAGCGATGAATCCCCATGTCCCCACGCCAAGTTTTCCAAACTTGAGAAAACATGGCCTCTAAGAAGTTATACGGCCAGGTGCAGTGGCTCACGCCTGTAATCCCAGCAGTGTGGGAGGCTGAGGTGGGCGGATCCCTTGGTCAGGAGTTCGAGAGTGAGCCGAGATTGCACCACTGCACTCCAGCCTGGGTGACAGAGCGAGACTTCGTCTCAAAAAAAAAAAAGAAGTTATACTTACTAGAGCCCAAAAAGGCATTCCTCTGTGTCCCCTCTGCTCCCCAGGTTCCATCTTAGCCCACATCCAGAAGCAAAAGCACTTCAATGAGCGAGAAGCCAGCCGAGTGGTGCGGGACGTTGCTGCTGCCCTTGACTTCCTGCATACCAAAGGTGAACCCAGCCTTTGCCTTGGTGGGTGGGTTGGGCTGGCCAGCCTCTAGGTACCAAGGGAGGTGGTAGGCCAGGCAGAGGGCTGGTGCAGGAGATGGTGTGGCTGGAAGGCAGCTTGAGGTTTGAACACGCTCACCCATGGGAGTTGGGGGAGAAACAGTCCAAGATGGCTCCGAGGCTTCTGCTGTGAACGGTGGGTGGGTGGTGGAGCTGCTGAGCAGCATAGGGATACAGGAGAAAGAGCAGGGAGGAGAAAGCATAAATTTCACATTGAACAGGGTATGTGTGACTGTGTGTGGATGATGTTTCTTTTCTTAGATTCTTACCATGTGAGGAATATAAAGCTCATACACAATATGACCTTCTTAATGTGAATATCTTGGTGTTATTCTTTCTAGTCTTTTAAAATACATCACCTCTGTCTCTTTTCAAAATTGGCACGATAGGATATACATAGTTTAATATATCTTGTTCACAGTAAATGAAAAATATATTTTTCTTTTTCCTTTTTTTCTTTTTTAGACAAGGTCTCAGTCTGTCACCTAGGCTGGAGTGCAGGGGCGCCATCAGGGCTCACTGCAGCCCCAGCCTCCCTGGGCTCCAGTAATCCTCCCACCTCAGCCTCCCAAGTAGCTGGGACTACAGGTGTGTGCCACCACAACCAGCTAATTTTTGTAATTTTTTGTAGAGATGGAGTTTCCCTATGTTGCCCAGGCTGGTCTCAAACTCCTGGGCTCAAGCAATCCTCCTGCCTCAACCTCCCAAATTGCTGGGATTACAGGTGTGAGTCACGGTGCCTATCTTATACTTTTCTATTAACATGTACATTTGAGGTATCTGTTGAAGAGCACATTGGTAACTCACAGGTTACTAGATTTGATTTACACTTCAGGTTACAGTCCCTTTCCTATGACTGATTATTTAGGAACTTTTGTAGTGACTTAAATCTTTCCACACATTGTTTTTACATTTCCATAAATCCGTTTGACTATTCCATACTTTTTTTTTAAATTTGCCTAACAGCAGTACCCTGGAAAAAATGAATTCTGGTTTCACGTGTCTTCTAGCTATGTGTTCTATCAGTAATAATGCCTACCCTATGGTGAGAATTTGAGATAATAGCATCATAGACTGTAGTTAACACTGTATAGCACTTGGTATGTGCTAGGCACTATTCTAAGCCTTTTATAGATGAAAAATGTGTACCTTGTGTTTGTATTGTATGTGTGCAGCATAGATGGAGTATAGTTCCTGGTATGTCGTAGTTCTTCAATAAATACGATTTATTTCCTCCATCCTCACCCCCCCACCGGGAAGAAAGCATTTTTATTCCTAATATTCCGTTAAAGCATTCTGCCTGGTGGGGGTGGGAGTGAAGTGAATAACTTGTGACTTAGGTCTGCCCCCTCTCTGTTGGGGATGTTGGCCAGCCACATTGGTTGTGGGTGCCCGGGACCAGTGGGAGGCATGCTACTCACACGTTCCACCTGGTGCCCACAATCCGGTGCAGACGAGTGTGGCATGTGTCCAGGAGGTTCAGGTTCATGGAGCCCACCTCCCTCCTCCAGTGGCTGAAGGAGGTCTGCATACCAACAGTGCCCATGTTGGGGCCCTGACTTGCACCTAGGATGAAAACTAGAAGGGGGTGTCTGTGCCTTCCGCAGCATGATGAATAGCAGCAGCTCTGTTTCTGAAAGCTGGGATGCATAGAGGTAACACCTGCCTGACAAAGATTTACAGCTGCTCCCCAAGCTGCCTCTGTAGACTGCAAAACTGGGTCATGCTTTTTACAAGATCCACCCCTTGGAGGGGGTGGTAAAGGCAGGTTTTATTATTTATTTATTTATTTATTTACAAGAATGCACTGAAGGGAACAGAGGCCGGTGGTGTCTTTGGAGTTCTGAGGCGCTTGTTAACATGTAGCTGGCCAGCTGCCCATGTGACTCGAAGTTGGAGGGGATGAAAAACGATTTCCAGCTGAACTTGGCTGTTTGCTAAATAACTTCACACGGGGAAGATGAATTGGGCAAGAATGGGTCAGCCCTGAAACAAGTTCCATACTTTTAAATACTGGACACATTGCAGCTCAACCTCTGGGAAATGAACCGGAGCAGCTCGATGACTGCTGTGCTCACACGGCAGCCCCATTATTACGGCCTGGCTCTCTGAGTTCTCAGGCTGAGGGACGACTGGGCCATGGGCGCCTATTTGGAGAGTAAGGCTCCATGTGCGGCTCGTGATCCTTCTGTGGGAGCACTTGCTGTAATGGAAAATATCTTTCACTTTTAGTACGGCGAGCTGCAGAGCAGTGCTACTCAATTTGTGCAGCCTGGACTGAGTTGCTCTGGGTTCTCGTTCAATTAGGTGGCTGATGAAGTTACTGAGCTTGCTGGAGCTCAGGTTTTTCTTCTTTAGTGAAGTGCCTCCCGTGGCCTGGGCCAGGCCTTTGCCTTCTAGTTGGGAGCTGGAGGACTGCTGAAAAAGTTGATCACTGAGGGAGTTTTAGTGAAGTAGAATTTGCTTTTCCCATCACCCCGAGAATCCGCTGCCGCTTTCCAGTACTTCCGAGCTGTAGCTCTGACTCTTGCTGAGCCTTCCAGCCCTGTCTCTGTGCCGCATGTGCTGTGGAAGGAAAGAGGAAAGGGGGGTTTCTGTGTCCTCCACCAAAACACCATGGCCCTTAGTTAGTTCTTTGTCCCTTTCTGTGGCTGGAAGAGGGCTCTCCCCCAGGTGCCTTCTTGGCCAGGTCAGCAGGTTAACCCCTCATGGACTAAGCTGCTATCTCCAGTCTCCTTCAGGAGTCCTGGCCAAAGTGCAGGGGTTTTCTCTTAAAAACAGCAACCCCGGTGGGCCCAGCGTGGCGGCTCACACCTGTAATCCCCGTGCTTAGGGAGGCCAAGGCAGGAGGACTGCTTGAGGCCAGGATTTCAAGAACAGCCTGGGCTATAGCGAGACCCCATCTCTATTTTAAAAAACAAAAATAACAGCATCCTGGGGACAAAGCAGTCTTTGCTGTGCTGCTGGCAGGGCTGCCTTGGACATGCAAAGCAGGTGAGAAGGGAATCGGTCACTTTGGGAGATTTGGTAACTAATACTTGCTCCTCTGAACATTCAGAGACTCGCACTGAAGGAATTTTTTTTTTTTAATCGGCCACACAAGAAGAAATGAGGTAGAGCAGTTAAGCCCCTGAGATGCTCTTAAACAAGGCACTAATTATTTCTGCATTGCTGTTCCAAGCATTGCCGTTTGCAGAGCTCTCTGCTCTGCATTAGGCCTTCTTCTTGGTAGTCACTGTGGTGCTGAGGGGTAGGCTGGCTGGGATTCATTTAGCCCTTCTTATCCCTGCCAGACTTCTAAACCTCTTCAAAAGAACCTTCAGAATCAACTGTGCTTTTGGTTTGTGTCTCTGGTTACTTCTGCCTCCTGCAGCTCGTTGATTTTTTAATGTACCATAATTGGGAATTAATCTGCGAACAACAGCATTTGGAAAAAATTAATTGTGTGTGGAATGTTGGATAATTATGTGCATATGTTAACCATTTTTTTGCTCTTTGTCATGTCAGGCATTGCTCATCGTGATCTGAAACCAGAAAATATATTGTGTGAATCTCCAGAAAAGGTACTTTGGGCCTGGTTTGGAATGTTATAGTTTATACCTACCGAGGAAGCCATCCTTGCTTTCAGGGTGGATTGTTAGCAGTTCCGTTGGCCTCAGGCACCAACTTGAACTGATCATCTTGGACATATGAGAATGTTACACTTGCTGTGTGATGTTTCTGCCCATCCTCATCCTTTCTTCGCTCTTGATCATCAGTGTGATTGATGTAAGCCTGAGAGTTTGGAAAATATGAGACCTACACAAAATTAATATTTTCTAGTCCAATGCACCTACTTTTTTTCAGTTGATGTAAGTCGTGAAGACCTTTGTTTTATTTTGTTTTGTTTTGAGATGGGGTCTCACTTTGTCACCCAGGCTGGAATGCAGCAGCATGATCACAGCTCACTGCAGCCTCGACTTCCCAAGCTCAAGTGGTCCTCCCGCCTCTGCCTCCCAAGTAGCTGAGACAACAGGCATGTGCCACCACACCTGGCTAATTTTTGTATTTTTAGTAGAGATGGGGGTTTCACCATGTTGACCAGGCTGGTCTCAAACTCCTGAGCTCAAGCAGTCCACCTGCCTCGGCTTTCCAGAGTACTGGGATTACAAATGTGAGCCAACACGCCCAGCCAAACAACTTAATCTTATATGAAGCAGATCTCTTTAAGTAAACGGAAGTGTATGAATTTGACAAATTCTGTGTTTGTTAGGAGATATTTAGGCCCTGGTGGTGCTGGGGCCCATGTTCACAGCTCTGTGTGTATATACATGTGTGTATTCAAGAGCATATATATTGTGGTCTGGATGAAGCCATGGCTCATAAATAAGAGGTGGCCTTGAATGAATGAGTCAGTCTGCTACTCACAACTCTTTTATGGGGAATAATAATGGATTCGCTCAAATAAGATCTTGTGACTTCCTATCATTGGTTCTGTCATAGAACTTTATAATTTATTATTATGATTACTACTGATAATTACAGTGAACATTTCTTGCGTGTTTACATTGTGCCAGGCACTTATATTTATTTAGTGTTTATAAAATATCATGAGGTAGTTACTATTATTACCTTCATTTTATGGACAAGGAAACTGAAACTTAGGAAACATGTATAGCCAGTGAGCCATGATCACACCACTGCACTCCAGCCTGTACAGCAGAGACCCTGTCTCAAAACATGAAAGTGAGGAAAGGAAAGGCAAAAGGGGGGAAGGAGAAAGAGAGGAATAATTGGGGCCAGGCAGTGGCTCACGCCTGTAATCCCAACACTTTGGAAGGCTGAGGCGGGAGTATTACTTGAGGCCAGGAGCTTAAGAACCTGGGCAACAAAGCGAGACCCCACCTCCACAAAAAATTAAAAAATTAGCTGGTCACAGTGGTTGCATGCCTGTAGTCGCAGCTACTCAGGAGGCTGAGGTAGGAGAATTGCTTGAGCCTGGAGTTTGAGGCCAGCCTGGGTGATATAGTGAGAGCCCTGTCTCTTAAGAAAAAGAGAGGTTAAGTTTCAAAGGACATTATCTATCAAGAAAGTGAAAAGACAATCTACAGAATGCAAGAAAATATTTGCAGATCATATATCTGGTCGAGGTTTAATATCCAAAATATATAAAGGATTCCTAAAACGCTACAACAAAAAGACAAACCAATTTAGAAATGGACACGGGACTTAAACAGACATTTCTCCAAATAAGGTACACAAATGTCCAACAAGTACATGAAAAGATGCTCAACATCCTTAGTCATTAGGGAAATGCAAGTCAAAACCACAATGAGATACCACCACATACTACTAGGTAGGCTGTAATTTAAAAAATGGAAAATAGTAAGTGTTGTTGAGGATATGGAAAAATTGTAACCCTTATACATTGCTGGTGAGATTATATAATGGTGCAACTTCTGTGGAAAAGTTTGGCGGTTCCTCAAAGGCTAAACACAGAATTACCATATGACCCAGCAATTCCACTCCTAGGTATTACCCAAAACAATTGAAAACAGATACTTGTATACCAGTATTCATTACAGTATTATTCACAACAGCCAAAAGGTAGAAACAACTCAAGTGGTCATCAGCAGCTGAACAGATAAACAAAATGTGGTACATACATTCAATGGAATACTAGTCAGCCATAAAATGGAATGAGGTTTTGATACATGAATGAACCTCGAAAACATTATGCTAAGTGAAATAAGCCAAACATAAAAGGACAAATATTGTGTAAATCTACTTATATGAAATATCTTGAATTGGCAAATTAATAAAGACAGAAAGTCTTTATTAATTAATAAAGTCAGATTGGAAGTTACCTAGGGCTAGGGGAAGAAAGAATGGGAGTTATGGCTTAATGCGTATAGAGTTTCTGTTTGGAGTGATGGAAAAGTTTTAGCAACAGATCGTGGTGATGGTTGCACAACCGTGTGAATGTATGTAGTTAATGCCACTAAACTGTCTACTTAAAAATGACTAAAATCTCATATTTTATGCTTTATATTTTACCACTAATGAGAAAGAGGCTAAATGAAAAAGAAAAGAAGAAAAACAGAGAACAGGGGAGGGAGGAAGGAAGGAGAGAAAGAAGTCGAGGGACTTGCCCAGGCTTCCCGGCGAGGACATGGGTCTCAGAGAACAAGCATTTAGTTCACTCGCTGTGCTGCTTACACACCATGTAGGCCATTCTCATCCATTCTCATGTGTGCACCCAAACTGCCCTCCTGGTTGGCTCCAGAGATGAGGCACCTGTCTGTGGTCTCAGGCGCAGCATCCAGTTCTGGTGGACTTGGTTACTGTGTTGATGCCACCTACAGTGACCAACCATCCCAGTTTTCCTAGGTTTGAGGGGTTTCCTGGAACATGGGACTTTCTGTGTTTAAACTGATCAAGTCCCAAGCAAGCCACCCCAGATAAGTTGGTCACCCTAAGCGACCTGAGGCGGTCAGGGGTTTTACTGCAAGCTCCTTTGCACTCCACTGAATGGGCTGCAAGAAGTCTGTCTCTCAAGAGTACATAGTAACTTCCCTAGCTGCTGTGCTGCAACCTGTACCATCGTTTGCCAGCAAGAGTTCCATTCTTACTTTGGTCTGAGTTCACAATAATCCGACACCAAATAGTCCACCCATTTTTCCCTTAGTTGGGAAATAAGAGAGCACAGGGAATAAGACCCTTGGGAAGAAATCCTCAGGGGACTTCTCGTTAACCTCCAGAGAGCAAACATGACCTAATAAAACCAGCTGCGGCGTGACAGCCACTCAGCCATGCACCCATACAGCCATGCCTGGCTCCTCTTGCCCTGTAGTTTCTTATGTCTGTGACGCTGGCTTCTGTTTTCCTTTTCAGGTGTCTCCAGTGAAAATCTGTGACTTTGACTTGGGCAGTGGGGTGAAACTGAACAACTCCTGCACCCCCATAACCACACCGGAGCTGACCACGCCAGTATGTATGCTTCCTCTGGGCTCCTAAGTATTTGGAGTGTTTCCCTGACCCAGAGCTGGGAGGTCCAGAACAGAGGGTTAAGGATGGCAAACCAACTGGACCTATCTTCCTGCTGCCTGAGTGGTCATTTTGCTTACTGCTCTGTGTTCGTGGCTCTCAAGCCTCCCCTGACCCCTTAGTTGCTAATGAAACTGACACTTGGACTGTTAGTTTGGGGTGAGTCCTCTCTGCTGATGAAGAGACAAATTATATCTATAAGCACAGGCTGGCCGTTTGCAGTGGCTTATGCCTGTAATCCTAGCACTTTGGGAGGCTGAGGTGGGTGGATCACCTGAGGTCGGGAGTTTGAGACCAGCCTGACCAACATGGAGAAACCCCGTTTCTACTAAAAATGCAAAATTAGCCAGGCGTGGTAGTGTATACCTATAATCCCAGCTACTTGGGCAGCTGAGGCAGGAGAATCGCTTGAACCCGAGGGGCGGAGGTTGCGGTGAGCCGAGATCACACCATTGCACTCCAGCCTGGGCAACAAGAGCGAAACTCTGTCTCAAAAAAAAAAAAAAAGCACAGGCTGAACCCTGACTCCTGACCCAGGTGAAGACAGACCCTACTCCCAGGCCAGCCCTTTTGCCTGTGAGCATTTGGTAGTTCTGTAAGCCCCATTCCCACTGCTGAAGGCACAGCGCAGCCCCCTTGTGATGGGGGATGGGGAGCAGTCCTCCCTGACTGGACAGGATAGTCTCTCTGTGGTGGGAACTGTGAGGTCTCAGTCTATATGCACGTGGGATCGCTTGGCCAAGTTAGCCTGTTTGCTTCTCTGATTTCACATTTCATGACCAGATGGTGCTGCTTGGAGCTACTTCTTCCCAAGACATCTCTTGTACAACTAATAGAGTATAATTCTGATTCTTTTGAGATTTGTATGCTTCACAAGTAAATTTTCCTAATAACCCTTTTAAGACATGCCCTTAATATGCCTGTGTTGTATCTTATTCTAAACAACATTATCAGGAATCTTTATTAGTTTCTAACACACCGGGCTACCTTGTTTTCAAAGTCATTAACTCTAAATGCCAATAACAAAGAAAATATCCTTTCTTGAGAACACTTACCGTCTTTCAGTCAAATTAGTTTTGCAGGGTATGTGGAGCGGGGAGGTGGTTCTTTCTTGGTGAGCCTGAAATAGTGAAGAGTGGAGCAAAAAGAATGTGTTTGATTCCTATCAGCCGTTTTCTACACAAGGGTGAGAGAAAGGAATATTGGACTCTGGTCCTAGGTGTGCCATTGATGTGCTCAAACAAATCCCTGTCCTGTTCTCGGCCTCGCGTTTGCCATCTATAAATGGGAGGGGTGGGAAGGTTGGATTTGTTCTAAGAGCTTTTCTAGCTTTGATGGTCTCTTAATTCTAAATTCTTACATTTCCTGCTCTGAGCTAGCAGGGGAGCTTGACAGGATTCACTTTAAGAAATCATGCTGTGTGGAACTGGATCTCCCTCCCAGAGCCATATTCTTGGTGCATTTAAGTACCTGTACATGAAATATCTGTTTATAGGAAGCTGAGGCAGAGAGAGATTCCTGGAACTTCTTGGCCAAGGGTCTTTGCCTACTGGAGGAGGAGCTGGAAGGATAAGGTGACCTGAACTGCTCCTCTGGATACTGGGGAATGATGGGGCTCAGTCTGCAGGTGCCTTGGTGGCATCAGGCGGCTCACTGGCTGGTCTTCCTGATGACTTCCTGCTCTGTCTCCCATCCTTCCAGCCTCCTGCTCCAGTCCCATCACAGTCTGCTCTCTGCCATCCCCTCTGCTGTAACTAAGCCTCTCTGTTCTCTGCCATCTCCCTCTCCCCCAACCCTGGCCCCCACAGTGTGGCTCAGCAGAATACATGGCCCCTGAGGTGGTGGAGGTCTTCACGGACCAGGCCACATTCTACGACAAGCGCTGCGACCTGTGGAGCCTGGGCGTGGTCCTCTACATCATGCTGAGCGGCTACCCACCCTTCGTGGGCCACTGCGGGGCCGACTGTGGCTGGGATCGGGGCGAGGTCTGCAGGGTGTGCCAGGTGAGTGCAGCCCCAGGAAGCACTGCGTAGACCCTGCTTGGGGTCAGTGTGGTTGGGGGATGCCAAGCAGGACTGGGCTGGGAGAGCGTTCCTGATCAGGATGGGGGCTCATAGTGCCCTCTCCCCGTCTTGTCAGGGTGGCCACGAGGTAAAATAGAGATAATCAGACACTCTGCCCAGCTGGGAGCTCAGGGCAGGATTGTTAGAGAAGATCATGGCTGAACTGACTCTTTTTTTTTTTTTTCTCTGAGACAGAGTCTCACTCTGTCGCCCAGGCTGGGGTGCAATGGCACGATCTTGACTCACTGCAACCTCTGCCTCCTGGGTTCAAGCGATTCTCCTGTCTCAGCCTCCTCAGTAGCTGGGACTACAGGTGTCCGCCACCACATCTGGCTAATTTTTGGTATTTTCGGTAGAGACAGGGTTTCGCTGTGTTAGCCAGGATGGTCTCAATCTCCTGACCTTGTGATCCGCCTGCCTCGGCCTCCCAAAGTGCTGGCATTACAGGCGTGAGCCACCACGCCCGGCCCTGAACTGACTCTTAAAGGGTGCATCCTGCCCTGGGGAAGAGGGACAGGAATCACAAGTAGAAGGAACAGCACAGGCACAGACGTGGACACATGAAATAGCTGGAGTGTCTAGGAAGGAAAAGTGGAGTAGTAGGTTGGTGGTAGTGGGAGATGAGGCCTGAGAGGTTCACAGACAGTCCTCTAGGAAGAGCCAAGGAATTTGGGCTTTGTTTTGTGGGCGATCCCCACTCATCACCCGTCCAGCCCACCAAGGGTATAGCCATCCTGGCCTGCCAAGGGCATTCTGTATAGTTTGCTCATCTAGGGGATAGTGCGGGGTGAGTCTGGGAAGAGGCCCCAGTCTGTGGCATCCCCAAGCCATGAGCTGCAGCTACAGCTGAGCTCAACTGAAGCTGGTTGATCAAAACAGTGACAGGCACATCCTGCCCATCCCTGGCAGTGTGGCCTCAGGAGGAATCTTTTGTACCTAGAACAAGCTGTTTGAAAGCATCCAGGAAGGCAAGTATGAGTTTCCTGACAAGGACTGGGCACACATCTCCAGTGAGGCCAAAGACCTCATCTCCAAGCTCCTGGTGCGAGATGCGAAGCAGAGACTTAGCGCCGCCCAAGTTCTGCAGCACCCATGGGTGCAGGGGGTGAGTGACTCTGGGAGGGGTGTTTTCCACCGTTCCAGGCTGTGGCATGGCCACAAGGAAGCTGTCATGCCAGCGAGTGCTGAGCACCAGCCTTGTGGGTGGTACAGCTGAAGAGGACAGCGTCTATCCCTGTGTGTGTAGAGCGAATCAACTCCTCCTGTTACCCCAGACTGAGCCCCTTATAGGCCGTAGACTTGGCTCTAACCTTGGCCACAGACTGAGCCCCAACAGAGTCCTCTGGGGATTTGTTACCTGCAAGCATCCTGTTGTCATTTGAAGTCTGTAGCATCCTCCCCTTATATAGAAGCATCATTAGCTGAGAGCACCCAGAAGCGAGCAAGGCCTTGCTGCGCTGATTGGTGTGTGGCCGAGTTGGGGCACATAGGTTCTCCTCATGGTCTGGGAGTCTGGGTACAGCTGGCCTGAAAGGCAAATGATGGTATTTTTTCCCTAAGCTTAGAATTCATGTTTTCACTAGAAAACATTTTTTAGAATCCTCCTTGGCTACTCACAATACCTGACCTCTGCCCTCCAAGGGGTCTGCCAGATGCTCCCATGACTTACTGGTCTCCTTGGTGTGCCAGGCCCTGGCCAGCCTCAGCGACCCTACCAGTGGAAGGAGGCAAGCATTGGCAGCCTGTGTTACAGTCGGGGACCCAGTTGGAGTGTCTAAGTGGCTCATTCCCAGACCCATAAGTGAGCATCTACCACATGACAGAGGGACAAGTGATTCCCAGTCCCTGTGTCGACGCTCTAGTGGAGAGAATAAACAAGGGGATAAGTTACAGCGTAATAAAGGCTTCTAAACAGCGCTAGGGGCACAAAGGGAGCAGGACCCCACTCCCCACCCCGGGCCTGAGACTGAGGCAGGAAGGTGGCAGGGAAGGGGAAACGTGCGTCACAGGTGAAGTGACCCTTGAGCTGGGTCTTGGGGGTGGTTAGGACTTTGCCAGGCAAAGGGAAAGCGGGGCTTTCCATGCAGAAGCAGCTGTGTGGGGGCTGCGCCTGCAGATTGTACCTTCCTTGCTCTGCTTGGAAGGCCTGACCCTGCAAGCAAGCAGAGCCGAGTCCCTGTGCCGGGCCAGCAGCCTAGAGTCACCTCCCCACTGCTGGCTTGGGCGGGGCAGCTCTTGGAAGGAGGGAGCAGTGCTTTACCTACACATCTGTCCTTCCCATTCTAGCAAGCTCCAGAAAAGGGACTCCCCACGCCGCAAGTCCTCCAGAGGTAAATGCGCTGACCACCCCCACGCCCTGCTCTTCCTCAAGCTCTCCGCCACCATGGGGGTGGAGGTGGGGCCCGGGGAGCCCATCTCTAGGCTCAAGTAGCCTTCTCCAAAGGGGCTCCCTGCCCATTTCCCCTCCTCACTCTCTTCTCCTCTACTCTGGATCTATCTCCCACCCTTCCCTGCCTTCACCTAGATTGCTTCCTCTGCCCTCCAGCACCTTAAAGGCCCCTCCTAGCACTGTTGGCAGGAGAAAAAAGAAAAAAATCTGTTTTTCCCATTGAATGTAACTTACAGCCCAAAGACAGACCTTACCCGTGGGTTATTCACATGCAGCTTCCCTCTGCCCTTGCATGTGGTGAAAGGAGCAGGAGTGAGGGGCACGTACAGTACTAGACGAACGGTGATAATAGTGGCCACCAGGATTAAGTCCTTACCATGGCCAGGCATGGTGGCAGGTGCCTGTAATGCCACCTACTTGGGAGGCTGAGGCAGGAGAATCGCTTGAACCCAGGAGGCGGAGGTTGCAGTGAGCCACGATCACACCACTGCACTCCAGCCTGGGCAACAGAGCAAGAATCCGTCTCAAAAAAATAATAAGTCCTTACCACATGTCAGACGTGGTGCTAAGGGCTGGATACAATTATATCCATAATCTTCACGATGAATTTAAGAGAGGTGTTCTGGATGAGAGAGGTGAGGAGTGGCAATCAAGTTAACTTGCTTAAGGCCACACAGCAGCCCTGGGCTGTTTGACTCTGGAGCCCTTTCACAGCTGGATTGCCCTGTTCCCAAAGAGCCAGGGCTAAGCAGTGTGGGAAACCCTTTTGGCACCAGCCTCATGGCCAGCTTTTAGGAGCTACACAAGGAAGTCGTACACCTCCGTAATCTCAATTCGTGTGATCCAGTTGCTATTGCCCAATTTGAGTTCCTACCTGACTCTCTAGAGCAGCCTCCAGATGCCTTTAGGTGCCAAACCTCAGATCCACCTTAGAAGATTTATTCTGCAAACCCAAAGTGCCTGTCCCTGCTAGTCCTGAGCTAGGTGCTGGGGACGTGACATAAGCGGCGCAGGCCTTGCTCGGGGAGCTTTTTCCCCACCCGGGCCGGGAGAGGGAGGGACAGGTGCGTTTAATGTGCCCTGTCTCTGCCTCTGGTAGACCTGTATGTAGCGTTGTGGGAGCTCAGAGGAGGGTGCCCTGAGGAGAAGGGGGAGCTTGCCCTTACCATCAAGTCCAGGGATGGTACTTGGGGCTCAAATTACAATCCCTCAGTCAAGCCAGATTCCAAACCTTGGCAAGAACTACTTAGGAGAGAGCAGCCCATCCCGGCTCTGGGAAATCTGGTGGGAGTGCAGCGCCACAGCAGCGAGTGGGAGTGTCCCGGAGCTGGCCTGGCTGACCCCAGAGTCCTGATCCTCTTTTCTGCGCTTTGCCCCGGCCCTGCAGGAACAGCAGCACAATGGACCTGACGCTCTTCGCAGCTGAGGCCATCGCCCTTAACCGCCAGCTATCTCAGCACGAAGAGAATGAACTAGCGGAGGAGCCAGAGGCGCTGGCCGATGGCCTCTGCTCCATGAAGCTTTCCCCTCCCTGCAAGTCACGCCTGGCCCGGAGGCGGGCCCAGGCCCAGGCAGGCCGTGGTGAAGACAGGAGCCTGCCCACAGCACTCTGAAATGCTCCAGTCACACCTTATAGACCCTAGGCCTGGCCAGGCGTTGTCCCCCTGGAAACCTGTGTGGCTAAAGTCTGCTGAGCAGGTGACAGCGTCTGCTCTGTGGCTTCACTCAGGCTTTTTCATCTAGAAGGCCCTAAAGTTCCCACCAACCCCCATTTCCCTAGGGTCCTAGAGGAAAAAGCTTTTTCCAAAGGGGTTGTCTTTGAAAGGAAAGCAATCACTTGTCACTTTGCATAATTGCCTGCAGCAGGAACAGCTCTTCGCTGGGCTCCACCTGCTCTCCGCCTGCAGATCTGGGATCCGGCCTGCTCTCACCGCTGTAGTGGCGGCTGCGGCTGCAGCCTGCAGGGAGAAGCAAGAAGCATCAGTTGACAGAGGCTGCCGACACGTGCCTCTTCCTTCTCAGCGCTGTCACCCTCCTCTGGCGGTCCTTCCACCTTCCTCTGTCCTCCGGATGTCCTTTTTGCCCGTCTTCTCCCTTGGCTGAGCAAAGCCATCCCCTCAATTCAGGGAAGGGCAAGGAGCCTTCCTCATTCAGGAAATCAGATCAGTCTTCCGGTCTGCAGCACGGAGAAGCACATAATCTTTCTTTGCCGTGACTGAAATGTGTCCCTCATTTATCATCCCCTTTGATTGTGATTGCTGCTAAAGTCAGTTGTATTTTGTTTTTTTTTTAAAGAAAGTTTGGTTTTTTTTTAACCATGCTGTTCCAGCAAAGATGGGACCTTCATCTCCCACTGCAAGCCCATGAACTTCCCAGAGTGTAACGGCTTGCTCTTTCTGGAATGTCCATGCATTTGGGTTTTAATCAGCAGTGCCCTATTCTAACTGATTTTAAGCTGTTCCTATGACAAGCTTAGAGACAGTGTCGGTGTCTGCTGCTGTGTCCCCAGGTCTTGTGTGGGTGGCACAGATCTGGGCAGTTAGATGGAGCTCTGTGCCTGAGATGAAGCCACACTGGGGTGAAGCCTCACTGCCCTGTTCGAGCGACGCAGTGCCTGCTGCCCGAGTTCGTGAAGGTACAGCCATTCAGATAAACTGAACTGTTGAGTTACATAAAGAAAATAGATTTGCATTTGTCAGGCAGACGTTTATACAACACCATGGTGCTTTTATACATTGTGCTTATTTTAATAAAACTGAAATTCTAGCTGTGGCCTATTTGGGGGTCCTTTTTTTACCTGCAGACCTGAGAAGGAGACTGGCCTTCTAAACTGGGGCTAAGTCCAGCCAGGTGGGGAGAAGGTATCTCTTACCAGGACCCCTAAATAAAAACCACATTGGACCCAAAAAACAAGGTGAAGGAGAAATTGCTTTTTTTTTTTCCTAGGTGAGGAAATGAAATTCATCAAACATTTATCAATTGCTTCTTCTGTGCCAGGACCCAGAAATGAGTAAGAAACAGCCTCTGCTTTCTAGGAGCTCCCCATCAAGTGGTAGAGGTGGTGTTAGCGACCATGACACAGGAGACTTCAGAATGTACTTTGATAGATGTCCTCTGTGCCCAGCAGCCCATAAGCAGGAAACAGATTTCCCCTCTGTCTAAAGCATTACTAAGCCTTTATCAAGGGGGTGTCATGTACCCAGGACTATGCAACAAAGAAAAATGGCGCCTCCCATCCACAGCCCTCATGTACATCATGCAAAGGACCTTGTTGTCCATTGTCCCAGGCGATCCTCAGAGCTGGACAGGAGAGGATTGGGGTGGAAAGGACCTTTATAAGTTCCCAAGGAGGTGGCAAGGGAGGTCTGAGAGTCTGGGCGGTGGCCTGGGTGCTGGTGACAGCTGCTTTCCCTCGGGAGGGCAGAGAGGGGAGATGGGATTAGGGCTCTTCACTTGGGACAGGTGACAGGCCAGGCTCCCAGCTGTCCTGTGCCATGAATGCCTCCCCGTTGACAATACATACTGTTTGTTGACAGTCTGCCCTTGACAGTAACCCTGACACCCTCACATCCCTTTTTCATCTACCTGGAGTGGGCTTGGTGAGGAAAACAGACCTGCAAAATCTGACCCTTTTGACCCACAGACTCCCAGCCCCTGGAGACCCAGAACCAGGATACGAGTTCTATCCCTGAACTCCAGCCCGGCCTAGTGGGAGGCCCAACAGGAATGTGACTTCAAGGGGGCTTCCTAGGTCAAGCACTCTCCACCCCTGGCACACACCCTGCCCAGCTGCAAATCCCCCAGACTCTCAGGCCTTTGTGCCTTGGCTCAAGCTGTGCCCTGTCCCAGCCCACCTCCCCAGCCTGGCCCACCTGGCAAGGCCCCTCTCATCCTGCATGGCTCTGCTTAAATGCCATGACCTTGGTTTTGGCTGACCTTGGTTTTGCCAGCATTGTCGTCCACTTACTAAGTAACAGGTACTTTCTAAGAAGTTTACGGGCATTAGCATTTAATTCTCAGCAGTCCTATGAGGTAGGTACTATTATTTTATCCCACTTGACATGAAAAACCAAGCAGAGAAAGGAAAAATAGCTTGCCCAGGGCTATACAGCTAGGAACGGTGGAACTGGAATTCCCTCCAGGAAGGCTTGGGACCCAGCGCTGTGCTGCCTGCATTCAAATCCCTGCTCTGCCACTTACTAGCTCTGGGGCTTGGGCCAGTTACTTAATCTCTGAGAGTTTCTTCAACTATAAATGGGGATGATAGTGCTTACTTCATGGAACTGTTGTGAAAGTTACAAATTAATAAATGTGAAGCATTGAGAGCAGTTCCAGGCCCACATAGTAAGTGCTCCATAAATGTTAGCTATTATAGTTTTAGCTAATCGAGTAGTCCCCATTGATCCACAGTTTCGCTTAATTCCATAATTTCAGTTACCTGTGGTCAAAATAGATGAGTACAACACAATAGGATATTTTGAGAGAGAGACTACATCCATATAACTTATTACAATATATTATTACAATTATTCTATTTTGTTAATCTCTTACTATACTTAATTTAGAAATTAAGCTTTATCACAGATATGTATGTATAGGAAAAATCGTAATATATAGAGTTTGGTACTGTCCATGGTTTGAGACATCCACCAAGGGTCTTAGAATGTGTCCCCTAGGATAATGGGGGACTCCTGTACTTACTGTTGTCTGCCAGGGCAGAATTACACAACTCACGGTCCCAGTGCGGGAGATGAGCCCTCCCTGGTCCTTGGCTCCGGGAGCACTCTACAGAAGCACTGTGTGCTGTGGAGATAGATCTAGGCCTCTTCAGATGAGCCAGGCCTCTGTCCCTCTGTGGGATCCTCCTGCGGACAGGCTGCTCCGTCCCTCCGGGATGCAGTCCCTGGCCCAGAGGGGCAGCTGTGGCACAAGGGGAAGAGCCTGAAGTGGGGACCAGAGCCCTGGGTTCCAGTACTGCCACTATTCACTGGTGACCTTGGAAGTTCTGGCTCTGCTGGACAGAGGCAGATCCGGCAGACACACTGAGGAGGCTCTGAGACCGCAGAGCCCCTTCCAGGCATGGGACCTGCGATGATGGAAGGCAGCTCCCCAGCTCCAGAGCTCTCGCGTGGGCGGGGCCTAGAAGGAGAGAGCTGGTCCCAGCCAGTTGGAGCGTCTCAAGCCTCAGACCTCTCTTCTAAAACCTAATGATCAGGCCTTGGCCCCAGCCCCAGCCCTGATTCAGCCGGACCCTGAGGACTCCTGTCTGAGGGCCTCTGGGCACAGGGACTGTCCAGTCTTTGTCCCTCTGTATGTCTACCTGCCTGGGCTCTGGGGGCCCCTCCTCCCTCCTGGCCGACTGCCCCTCCCAGACCCAGCTCCATGAACAGTGGTGCCTTGGTCCCATGCCAGCACTCCAGCTGCTTCAGGTCTGGAGGGGGCTGAGGAGCAAGGTCCCCCCAAGGCTGGCACTCTTGTTGCCATGGTAGCTGTTGCCTTGGAAGCCGCTTCCCTGACTTCAGCTCCCAAATGGTCCAAGAAAGCTACCCGTCCTCTGGGGTATTGGTGAATTAATCATGCTCTTTTCCAGGGTTCTCACCCCTCAAGGAAAATAAACAGAACCAAACCAGACTGGGGCCTTTTCGCCCACTGTTCCTCCCCACCCCCACGCCACACTTGGACTTGGTGCACTGAGAAGGAAGGAGCATGGGCAGACGCTCTCCAGCCCTTGCCTCAGCAGGAGACAGAGAGAAGAGACTGGGTGATGGAATTCAGCAGTGTGCCCGTGGCCTTGCCATGCCTGAGAACTGTGGCCTCCCAGAGCACCCAGGTTCAGCAGGGAGGCTCCGATGCTTGGGAGGGGTGGAGGGTTGGTGGGGAGATGGAGCCCTGGTGCCTTGGGCCTCCCTCTCAGCATGACTCACAGAGAGGTTCCTGAACTCATTTACCTATTGCTGTGAGCACATCACTCAAGGACACACTTACCTTTACTTTTTCAGAGCCCACATTGAGGGAAGAATTGGCAGGCCTCCCTCTCTACATCACAACTGTTTTGGAAGCCTTCAATGACACACTCCTGGTCCTGAGGGAAAGAGGCAGGCCTTGACTGATTTTCGTTGTTTCTGTTTTGTTTTGTTTTGTTTTGTTTTCTGTTTGCTTGTTTTGAGACTGGATTTCACACCCATCGCCCAGGCTGGAGTGCAGTGGTGTGATCTCGACTCACTGCAACTTCCTCCTCAAGCGATCCTGCCACCTCAGCCTTGAGCCTCCTTGGGCTCAATCGGTCCTCCCACCTCAGCCTCCCAAGTAGCTGGGACTACAAGCATGCACCACTGTGCCCGGATAATTTTTGTTTTTGTAGAGACAGGGTTTTGCCGTGTTGCCCAGGTTGGTCTTACACTCCTGGCCTCAAGCAATCCCCTGCCTTAGCCTCCCAAAGTGCTGGGATTGTAACCCCACCATGCCTGGTCCCTTGGCTAATTTTTTAACACGATGTCTCCCTCTGAAGGTGGGGCTGCCAATTCCTCCCACCTCAACTAAAACAGTGTTGAAATTCAGGGGCAGATAGGCCAGAGTACTTCCCAGCGGGGCAGGATCCATGAGGACTCTGGGGCAATTCTCCTGTCTCCCCATGTCTTACATTCCCCACCTGTTTTATAAAGAGCTGGGACGGCCCTGGTTCTGTGATCTTGGAACTGATAAAGGCTCAACG